TAAACACTTGCCCGTAGACCATGAGCTAACTTAATTTATATTGCTTTGTAGTGTATATGTCATAATTATTGAAGCTGAAGACAAAATTGTGCATATACTTATACTATTATATATTCATATTTATATTTATATTTATATTTATGAATTTTTTACCTGGATTAATATCGTATAGGGTGAACCAGAGTCGTTGAACCAGCTTTTTACCTTATGAGAAAATTATTGACTGCACGTTATAATCAATTAGGTATAAAGTTGATCATTTTTCACTTTTTGAAATGGTTAATCCGGGTAAAAAATTCATATATAAATATAAATATGAATATATAATAGTATAAGTATATGCACAATTTTGTCTTCAGCTTCAATAATTATGACATATACACTACAAAGCAATATAAATTAAGTTAGCTCATGGTCTACGGGCAAGTGTTTACACTGCACTCCAATTTTATATTTAAAATTATATTACGAAAAAAAAAGAAAAAATAATATAAATAAAACTGATTTACAACACTACAAGAATTTAAAATGATGTAATAGTATTGATAATATATCACTATTATTTATACTAAGCAAATAGCAAAAAAAATTAATCGTAAGAATTCTATTTTCACTTTCATAGAATTCATTTTTAACTGATTTGGTATACAACAAGCATACATGTATGAATTATGAGTTTGTACTTCAATTAGCTAAACAGATCACAATTTTATTAATAAAGTGCAATAATTAATTTCTGGGTATCAATCACGAAACTGTTTTCCTAGCATGAAAAGTAAAAAGTAAATAAAAGATGGACTCGTTTTCCTAAGCATCGACGAGATACTATCAAAGACCGATATCCTTACGGAAGTTCGCGTCCTTGTGAATATTAAAGTAATTAAGAGTTAAAAATGATAATATTGTACTTTTGTGATTTATTAGTTTAGTAGACGAATTTATTTAATAAACGTATTTAGTTTAGTAAACATATTTAGAAATAATATAATAATACTAATTTAATAATACTCGATTTTTTTTTAAATTGTGATTTCAGTGTTATCGTTAAAGTTTTATTATTAATAGAGATGATAACTGCAGAGAAAAAAATTGTAATTTTTCAGCAATATATAGGATATTATAGCTTTATAAGTATGCATATTTATTTATGGAACATTTATGTAATAAAAAATCATGAATTTAATAATATATGAGCCAAATATTTATGTTAATAATAGTAAATTTATATCAATGTCGATAATGTCAGCGTTTTTTAATTACCTCCGGGCTCTTGGGGCCCTTTGTATACCGCCGAAAATTTGCCCAGGGTTGACGGTCTTTAATAGTACCTCGTCGATGTCCTAAGGCATTATAATATGAGCAGAGAGAAATCTGAGAGAGGACATGACGGTTCAAAATTTGTAACCGCAAAATGGATGCCGCGCATTACTGCCCTCTGATAAAATGGATGTAAACTACATAGCAACATCCACTTTTCAAAATTGGAAATGATAAATTGATATTTAATTCATATAATTGTGTTATATGTAGCACGATTACGTGAATCAAATATTGATTTATCATCTCCAGCTTTGAAAAATAGGCGATGTACTCTAATGCCCAATTTCTTCACCTCTAGATAACTTTATCCAAAAGATATTTCCCAGAATACAATGGAGATATCTCTTGGATAAGATTATCCATAACTTATCTGTAAGTGAAGAAATTGGATATAAGAAAAGTGGACGTGTTGTACAGTTTACATCCACTTTGTCAGAGGGCAGTAGTGCGCGGCAGCATTTTGCGGTTAGAGTGCGATTACATGATGCGCGGTACGCGATCCGCGGTACAATAACTAATAGTAATTAACTAATAGTAAAAGGCAATTAAGAAACTACGTATCACCTATTTTTTTCGCTGATATTACATGGAGTGCAATTTGCGTGCGGCTTGCGGCACGGGCTAGTGACTCACATTAGTATGAATTTTTTAAAATAACATATTAACTTATTTCTATATGTTACTTCTATATGTACACTTTATCAATACTCTTATTTTTTTAACTGATTTACTTAATAATTGCGTTTAAATCAATTAATTTCATTAAAAAATGCATAGCAGTGTATAGTAATGTGAGTTTGTTAGCCTGTGCCGCAAACCGCGCGCAAACCGCGCTCCATGTAATACCAGTGAAAGAAATAAACGATACGTGGTACGCGGTTCCCTAGTTGTCTAGTTAGTTACTATTAGTTATTGTACCGCGTTCCATGTAATCGCACAGGTTTTGGGCCATCATGTTCTCTCTCAAGTTTCTCTTTGGTATGACTTTTTTACAATTTTGAACACAACACGTGGGCATTTCTACAAACCAAATAGAATATGCTAATTAATTATTTAAAAAAGATAGATAAATTACAATAAAGGAATGATAAAGAAGCATGATTTTTTTATAGATATCGTTATACATACTCTAACA